GATAAATGAACAGGCTGTTTGACAAGAGGTTTTGTATTCAGTCCGGTTTTCAAGGCGATGTGACAGTTCCTTTTTCAGACGTGGCTACTTTATCGGAATAGTGATGCGATTTTCAAGATGACACGTCGGATCTCATTTAATGCAGCTCCCGCTTCACATTCAAATTTCAGGGTTACATATAAAAGGGGATTCAAGGGTTCTTTATCAGTTTACGCTTTCAAAAGAAAAATCCCCAACTTGTCTCAAGAATCTTTACTTGTTCTTCCAAGTTTCAAAACCCTAATCATGGTGAATCCTGCTGCTGTTGTTGTTCCATCCCAGTCTACTGATGATGTTTCTTCTCAACCAATTATGAAGATTCAAAGCACTAACTATCAAGTCGAGGGGGATGTTTCACTGTATCCAGAAGAATTGAAGATGTTAGTTGTCGCTTTGAAAAGCTCTGTTCTTTCTACTGCCATGTTCAACTCCTTTGCTGTTCCTCTATCCTGTATTTCCATAGCAGGATCTACTGCATCATACAGCAAAGCTCTGGATGTTATCACGTTTAATCTAGTAAACGATAAGAAGATTCGTCTCTCCAAGAAGTTGTTCTGTCAGATTCTTGAAATTCCTAACTCTCCACCGTACACTGATCTTTCGTTTGCTCAAATCATCTATATGTTCAATGAGATGGGTCATCAACCCCTACTTACCAAGATCAGTGATTTTAAGAAGTCTGGACTCCCAAGTATTTGGAATTTTTTATTTGGTATGTTTCTACGCTGCTTGACTGGTCCCAGTCTTGGATTGGATAAGGGAAGAATGGAGGTGTATGTCATGGTTGCTGGTCTTTACTATGATATTCCAGTTGATTATTCTACTTAGATGTGGAAGGAATTTCAGAAAAGTGTGGAAAACACTAATGTAGTTCAAGGAATATCATGTGCAAGATACTGGAGTTTGATTCTTCGTCATGTTTATGACAAAGAAGGAATTGATGTGCCAGCTGATGAAGATAAAGCTGAATTCTTGAAGTATCACTTCCCAAAGGAGGTTTCAGATGATGCTGAGGTGTTTTCGAACATTGCTGGAATCCCTGATGCAGTGTTAAAACATGTTGATCCAACCAACTCGGTATTAGTTGAGTATTTGAAGTCTGTTAATCCTAATGATGAAACAGGAAAGTTGTTATCAAAAGAGGGTGCTGGTCCTTCTAATAAATCAAGACGGTTGAAGAAGGATGAAAAGGCCACTCCTGAGAAGCTTGTGCAAGAACCCAAGCCTAAGAAGTCTCCAAAGAAACAGTCAACGAAAGAGGAGCAAGTTTCGACTGTTGTGACAACGCCTGTTGAGCCTATTGTTGATGAACAAGCTAAGGAAACAACTCCATCAAAGACTGGTGTTTTTAGAAGACTAAAACAGAAAGCTCGTGGTTTACAAAATACTATAGATGGATCTTCTAGGTTTTCTCCAACCATGGTTCGTAAACCACATCTTAATCATCAAAGGGTTATTATTCGTGAGGTTCCAGCTCCTGTTTCCCCTTTGTCAAAGAAACAAAGAGCTGAAGATGTGGCAAAACATATTTCAAAGAAGAAGATTAAGAAACGAAATTTGGTTATTCAAGAGGAATCGTCCGAAGGTGAGAAAGTTCCTGAAACACCTGAAGCTACAATCTCCAAATCAACATCGACTCCTGAGCAGACTAAGGTCATACCACCCGAAGTTTCGTTAACTGAGTCAGTTCATAAGGAGGTTCAAACTTCAGACATCACTACACACGTATCTGATACGAATGTAAATGTCATCATGGGTGAAGGAGATTCGCATACAGAGCTTCCATTATCAACCCAAGGTATTCCTGTATTATCTTCCATAGATACTTCTGTTTCATTACCACCTATATCATCCCTGTTTCAAACACAACAAACTCACCTACTTTTGAGCATGTTATCCAAAATCCATTTACTACACTTTTTTCATCCCAATCCACTGATCCACCCAAATCTATCAATGAACCTGAAACTGATATTGACGAAGGAGGTTTTGGAGGTACTTTTGAGGATTTGGAATTTGATGATGAGGAAGAAAATTTTCCAGATCATATGTTAATGTCTATGAAGTAGTTCAAGATTCTTAACAAGAAGTTGAATTTGATTATTCAATCTCAAGCAGATATGGGGGGAAGTAATTTGGTGTCCAGTATGGAGATTGATGGTCTGCTCAAAGCGAGCCAGAATGGTTTCCAAATGTTCTGGATTGATTAAAGAATCTGAATCACACATCATGGAGAAGTTGGACCAAAATGATAAGTGTAATGAGTTACGTGTGAAGTCTCAATCTTCGAATTTTCTGGGAGAAGTTAAGGATTTTAGACGGATGGCTAAGGAACGACATGTAATGTTTGTTCAAGATGTGAAGAAGGTAAGGGAGGATATTAATTTGCATATTAGAGAACTTCGTGAAGACATGGTGAAAGAGATTGCTAGTGTTCAGAAAGACTATGCGTCTCTTAATCAGAAGATGGATATTATTTGTGATGCAGTCACAAAGTTTGTTAAATTGTACGAAAGTTTGAGTCCTCAAATTACTCAACTTTATACGAATGATAGTCAAAGTTTCGTGGAAGTTATCAGTTTGTTAAAGGAGTTGAAAGCACTTGTTGTCAAGCCTGCTCCATCTTCGCTCATTACTCCTGAATTTTTGTCCCAGAAGTTTATTCAGTTTGAAGCTGTTCTGCATAAACAATTAGCTCCATTATCCAGAATTTCCAATTTATTACCAACAGATGCCCCACCTGTTGTCACAGGGGTGTAAGGGGGAGAAGGGAAGGTTGGTGATGGTGTTTCGCAGGAAAAAGTCAAGGTTGTTGGAAAAGTTTTCTCATCAAAAATTCCAACAACAAAGCCAATTCTTTCGACTGCTGGTCCGGTGAGTTTGACAGTGATAACTACAAAGCCAATTGCCAAAGGCATTGTGATTGGTTCTTCAGCTGAAGGTGATAGTAGTTCGAAATCAAAGAAAGTTGTTGATGATTCTTTGAAACAAGACAAAGGGAAAACGATTGTTGTGGAGAAATCAAAAGAAGAGAAGAAAGCTGAAGTTGAAGCTGAAATGGAGAAACAAAGGGTGATTCAAAGTATTTTGAGACTTCGTGCAAATGATCCACCTGGAATGAATAAGGGAGATCCAAGCAAACATTACAATTATGAAACTATTGAAGCAAAAGTTGCGTATAATCATATGCATGCTTTTGAGAAGAAGCCTAAGAAAAGTTATGTTGTCACTAATACGGATATGAGCCAGTTAGATTTTCCAGTGAACGAAATGATGTTCATGATGGCTCAGTACAGGATTGCTGAAAAGTTTGATAATGATGATGACTACACGTATATGAAACTTAGGTTTCGTGTTGTTATTGGGAAAGTTCCAGAGGAGATTTGGTCGTTGGTGAAGATAAAGAAGGTGATCAGTATTACGAAGGATGTTCTGTTCAAGAACTTGATGCATAATTTTCGTTTTCATGTTACAAGGGCGAATGGTCAAATATGTGATTTCTCTGTTGCAGATTTTCCTTTAATGAACTTGTATGATCTTATACAAGTTGCAATGCTTTTGAAAGACAAGAATGCTTCACATCTTCAAGAAACAGATCCAGAAGTGTTTCGACTTGGTCTTGCCCACATCAAAATATTCATAGATAATTACTACGAGTGTTTGGCCCTTACTGATGTGGAGTTGGCTACAACATTGGGGAATGAAGTGAAAGTCCCTATGGAAGTTTCGAAGACCCAACCTGAGTTAAAGAAATTTGCTGATGGGGAAATTTGTTTGAAACCATTTGGATTGTTTTTCGCAGGAAAGGATAAGAATGGAAAAGCCAAAAGATTCTTGTTCCAGGCAAGCGAAGTTGAAAGATATACCACATCCCAGTATACGAACTTTATTGATCGTATGAATAACTGTTCGAAAAACAACCAAGGGGATAAGAAGGAGTTAAAGAAGATTATTTCGTGGTATACGGAGATACGAAGAGTGATGTTGTTTGCTGCACATGTTCTCTCACCTTGAGAAGTTCGACTTGATTACAAAGGGGGAGATTGTAGGGTCGAAATATATTGTAATCAGTCGAAGTTTGTTTAATTGTTCACTTCGTATGTTTTGTTATGTATTTACTAAGGTGTCTTTTGTACGAAGCTTAACGTCTAAGCCTTAGTATTTTTTTGTACTTCTTGTTCCCTATAAATAGGGCTGAGCATTGAGTAGATAGTAAGAGTCTGAGAGTGATTGTAATAGTTTACTCTTTTTACTATCATTTTGTACTCTGTTCATCGGAAGTAATTGAACTGAAAACCAGATTATATTTACACCTTGTGTTCATTTGATCATTACTCTGATATATTCTCGATTCATCACTTCATCAGTGGTCCGCAGACTTCATGGATTTTTACTTCAAAAAAACAAACAACACCTAACATAAGGGTGTTTGCATTGCCTTGTGGTGTCATTTAAAATAAAAACCTTAAAAATTTTAAATCATTTTATCTGGTATGGATGTTTTTTGCCTTTTAAGGAACATAAATACTTGAAGTTAGTCTAATGTTTGTAGATTATAATTATTTATGTTTACTTATCGATTAAGAAACAATAAACTTTATAAATTTTAAGACCCTATCTTATTTACATCGATAAGTTTTAGCCTACATATAATTTTGTCTACTTTTCCTACCATTTTGAATTGGCTTAATAGTAGCTACGTGAAGTCAAACATGATAAAAACACTCTAACTTTATGAATTTGTTTAACAACATCCATATCTTTATGTTTTGACCATTATTCATCTAATCAAAATGGTCAAAGAACAACTTTTGTGGTATGTTTGCAATTTGAATCATGGACCTTTTAGTTAAAAACCACAAACCACACATTAACAATATTACAAACCGCAAACATCACCATGAAATTTCCAAATCGTGTTATGCAGTGCAGTGTGGGCAGTTCATGCAGTTTGATTAATACCTGTATTTGAACATAAAATTTCAAAAATTACCATTTTACCACTACAATGACGAGATCAATTCATACCAAGATCTAGGTTTTTATTTCATAGGTAGTTAACCATCAAAGCTACAATTACAAGAAAACATCTTAAAGCATACACAACACAATTTGGTGAATACCATAATCAAATAACCACTTAAGTCTTGAAAACTATTCTTTAGGCACCTTCGGTCTTGATACCATATTCTCCACCTTCTGCATATATTTAACACATAATTCACATATCACAACAATTATCAATCTATATTAAGAATACAAAAATTTTAATCTCAGCAACCCATGAGTTGGCCCACACTGTGTTAGGGACATCATAAACCAGGTACACAGTGGGCCCACTAGACTGACCGACAAAATGTGACTTACATGCTCAGTGTGTGGCAAATACTTCCCATCAAACGTCAGCACTACACGCTCCTTCCCATCCACGCCCTTCACTTTGTCAACCGAGCAAAAGAAGTCTATAGCTGACATTCTGACAACAAGATAAAAACGGAAACCCAAGTCAGCGTCCACATGGACTTTTTATTTTTATTTTTAAGTCCATGGACATAATGTGAATACAGATTGCCAACTTGGACGCCACATAGGACAAATAACTTGATTAATTAGGCAATTGTATTTGTAGGTCTCAATGATGTAACTAAAAACACAATTAAAAGAATTGGGGACTTAAAAAGAGAAAATTAGTGACAGTTTTTTAATTGTACTTGTTAATAAGATGCAACAATATTACCATTTTCCTCCAAGAACATCTAAATTACATGTTTTTGAACAGTTAACAAGTTGATTGCAAAATGAAATTTTGGGTATGGGAAGAGTACTTACATGCCATCACCAAAATCTTCATTGATGATTTCCTTAATGCTTTCACCAAAGTGCATAACAGCTTCGTTTAACCTGAAAATTTTACGATTAGGTAAAACATTTAGTACCAATTTAAGTTAACTCCCATCAATCGAGTCCCAATTTCAGTCGATGTTTTCAATCAATTATAAAATTGGTATATTCAATTTGAGAATTGTTTCCCCAATCATCACAAAGTATCATCGATCTCGTGCTAAAATCGAATATTAACAGAAGAACAGTAAAGGACTTTGATAACTGGATTTCGAAAAAGAAAACGAATTGGGGTTGAATTATATAACCTGTAGATGGTAGGATCCTGGATAATGGATGGATCATAGGATCTAAGAGGGGGTTCCATCATCAGCTGGATTTGAGAATCCACAAAGCCGGGGAGTGATGCCCGGAGTTTAGGGACAGTATCGGGCTTCAATTGAGCTTGATGTCTCAGGAGCTGAGCAACATAGACATTAGTCAATCCAGTCTCCTCCGCTATTTGACTGAAAGTCTTGCCGGAACGTCGCTTCACCGCCATTAATGAACTCACGATGCTAGCTTTCGTCGGTGTTTCCTTTTCCATTTTTGCCGATTCGAGTAATTTGCACCGAATTTGTTGCCTGTTCCTTTTTTATATGCAAAACTTTCGTCGATTATAGGTTGAGTTATCTTACTGATTGTAGCCTTGTGGTTTGTAGGGCAGACGATAACAAGCGTTGGCGGCTTGCTGAAGTTGTGCAATAATGGTGGCGAAACTCAAATGCATATCTTCTTCCAGTGGAATCTACTAAACGACATCGTATTGCAACAACCTTTTGTTTTATTTGAAGAACAAAATTTTCTAATCAATATTAATAACTAGTATTTATTAGATGAGTTAATTAAAATATATATATATATATATATATATATATATATATATATATATATATATATATATATATATAT